CGTCTGGGTCCTGGGGCTTGCTTGGGACTATGCCTGAGGGCTTCCCACAGCATGGTCACTTCATTTGGAGGGAATGCTGGGTATCATGGGGACATGGTTGGAGGGTCCCATGGTGCTTGGGTTATTTTTCCTGGAGCCCACCTTTTGCCTGCTGTAGAACTCACCCATGGTCTTGAGTAGGACATTTTGGTGGAGGACTTGAGCCCTGTCCATATAGAGGAAGACATGGTTTCCATGTCTGAAACTGGAATGAACCTCGGGTTCTCTTTTCTTCCTGAGAAGCTTCCCTTGGGCCTATCCTCTTGACAGTTTGTCAGTGACTACAGCACACACTGTTGTGTCGTAAAGGACCCTGCCAGTCTACTGTAGTGTCTGTAGGACCCCGCCAGTCTCCATTCCTGTTGTGTGTGAGATTGAACTTGGGCCACAGGGGAGATTCTCAGTCAGTTACTCCCAGGTGGTAGCTTTTATGATTTCTGACAGGCATTTATTTTGCTTCTTCAAGGGGGCCTGAAGTGGAAGCATGTTCCACAGCAGGCTCCAAGCAGCCCAAACCCTGGCTCAGGAGTAGGGTGGCAGAAGTTCAGAGAGTTCTCTGCAGGACTAGCCGCTGGGCCCAGGAAGGGCTGGAGCCTTTCTGGGCAGGAAGGAGCAGGGCATGAAGCATCAGTACTAGCGCTATGGTGGTCCTGGCTTCAGGGTGGGAAGTGGGAAGGCCTCTTGGCTCTGCCCCTGAGGTGGCCTTCCTGCCATCTGCTTCGCTCAGCACTGGGCAGGCAACCCTGACATTGTGCCGCCCACTTGGCTCCCACAGCTCCTCCAGACAACCAACAACTCCCCCATGAACTCCAAGCCCCAGCAGATTAAAATGCAGCCCACAAAAAAGGGCCCCCCAAGCAAACGAGAAGAAGGAGGTCCATCTGGGGTGCCAGCGGCAGGAGGGCCCCCAACTGGAGATGAAGCTTCCTCTCTAGCGACTACACAGGCTGCCACATCCAGTGGTCTCCAGCCACAGGTAAGCAGGGTCTCTGGCCTCCAGCATGGTGATGGGAGGAACAGGACTGATAATCAATAAAGAACAGAAAAATGTCAAGGTTCCCCTTTTTGTTGTTTTGATTTTTTTTTTAAGACAGGGTCTCACTCTGTAGGCCAGACTGGCCTGAACTTTACTATGTCGGTTAAGCCAGCCTTGAATTTAAGGCTGTCTTCCTCAGCTTTTCTGGTGTTGAGATGACAGGTGTGAGCCACCACACCCAGCCAAGGTTTCCCATTCATAATAACTGTGTGGGTTCCAGTGCTGTGTGGCTGAGATCCCACACTGGAGAGTCACTGCCTTAGAGCTCGTCTGCAGCAGGAGGGAGGTGGCCTTTGCTTGGTCGTTGTGCCTCCTGTGCACCAGACCCTGTTGGCTCACTTGCCTGCCCTTCAGTTCTTTCTGACCTGACAGAGGCATAGTGCCTCCCCCTAGCCCTGTCCTGTGTCGATTCTCGCTGGTCTTGCTGGAGCAGGCTCCTGCATCTGTTACTACGGCAGTTCTAGGGTTGACTTTCTTCCACCTCCACCCCAGTTGGCTCCTCCTCCCTCTCCTTGTAACTCCACCCTGTTCTGTTTACTGAGCCCCTCTCCCAGTTAGCAGTGATGCATGTTGACTCCATTTCCCCTTGTAAGCTCCTGACCAGGTTGGGGCTACTGCCTGGACCTGCTTTAGAGGTCCACCATTTCTCAAGTGCCTGCTTTCTTTCTTTTAGCCCAAGCCCAGCAGTGGGGGCCGGCGACGAGGGGGCCAGCGCCACAAGGTGAAGTCCCAGGGGGCCTGTGTGACTCCTGCCAGCGGCTGCTGAGTATCCCCCAGTCCACTTGACCCGTGGGATCCTCACTCTGGCTACTGCTCACCAGCTGGGCAGAGCATCTTTGACCACCACCCGCCCACTCCAGCCCTAGCCAGAGCATCCTTGTTGCCACACCCCCATTTTCCAGAGGGGGCTTGTAATTTATAAGATCGGGAAGGACTAGATGTCCGAGGACTGACCATGTCCCGCCTGCCTCCTCTCTTACACATCTTTCTACATCTGGGCCCTTACTTTCTATTCTTTTTATTATATATCTCTGTGTCTCTCTCTCTCGTGTGTGTGTGTGTGTGTGTGTGTGTGTGTGTGTGTGTGTGTGTGTGTGTGTGTGTGTGTGTGTGTGGACAGGATGTGTGTAGGAGTGCAGCTGACCCCGTCAGCCTCCATTTCAGTCCTGGCTGGCCACTAGCCTTTGAGAGCTGCCCCCCTGTTCTTCCATCTGCATCTGTCTCAGTGAGATCCTCAGAGCCTTTAGGGAACCTCAGGAGTCCAAGGCACCTGTCTTCCCTGGCCAGTTGCCCCCCCTCAGCTGAAAGCTCCTTTTTGGCTTGGTAGCTTCTGTCAGAGCAGGGATCCCCCAGTCTAAGATTTGGGGAGTTTAATGGAAAATTGTGGCCTCCCCTATCTCTCCTTTCCCTCCTAAGCTCCCAGTGGCACCTGTGATGTGTAGAGGGCGTGGTGATGCATTATAGGACCGCCCGTCCTGATTTTTTGTTTTGTTTTTCAAGACAGGGCTTCTCTGTGTAGCCCTGGCTATCCTGGAACTAGCTCTGTAGACCAGGCTGACCTTGAACTTTGAGATCCACCTGCCTTTGTCTCCCAAGTGCTGGGATTAAAGGCATGCACCACCACCACCTGGCTGCCCACCATGACTCTTGACCCTTGCCATGGATCCAAAGAACTGGGTGGGCTTAGCCTTGGAGACAATCCTGGGCTTGCCTGGCTGGCCCTGACTACTATGGTTTCTGTACCTGCTGGAGGCTCTTCCTGTTTCTACTTAGATCTCTGGCTGAGCTTCAGAGTGTGAGGTACTAGACTGGGTCTGGGCTTTCCTGGAATCAAGCTGTATAGTACCTCCTTTTGGTCGAGGAGGGGAGGTACTCCTCTGAGTTGAGCCATGTCATCTCAACATAGATGTTACAGCCATGGCACCACAGCAGTGAAAGGCCTGAACCTAGATGCCCCAATTGGAGTGTGTATGGGCAGGTGGCAGTGGAGATTCTTCTAGGCCATCAAAAGCACTACTGCTGGGGAAGGGTGGGCAAGCCCTGCACCCTGATCTCAGGCTGGGGTGCTCCTTCTCAGCCAGGACATACCCAGCTGGCTGGGTCCCTCTTCAGCCCCACCCTGACTCCCAAGCTCTTATTTGTCCTTTGCCCCTGACTGCTCTTACCTCCCTGTCCTTCCTCCCAGCTGTTTCTAGTTGCCACTGCCCCGTGGCCATGGACTGACCAGACCAGCATTCACAATAAAAGTTTGTTCTAAGTTGACAGTGTCATGTTCCCTGCCCAACCTTCCAGGTGGAGGTACTGCCATGGGGACCCTGGTTCTGCCTGCTCTGTGAGCCTGGTGGCAGCTGAAGGGCTTCCAGGGGCCCCACTTCTGCAGGTGTAAATGCCCCACTAGCTGTCTTTGACCCCCGCCCCCTTTCCTCATACAGATCCCTGCCTCCGGGTTATGTGGGTTTGCTGAGTGAGGGAGAGGCATTCTGGACAAGCTACATGCAGTGTGGCACTACTGTGGGTGGGCTTGTTCACGTCACAGATGAGCAGTCACTGCTGCCACCTCTGAGGTTGACAACACTGAAGCTCAGGGAAAGGAAGGGCCGTCTCCAGAGCCTTAGTTCCTGCTCTCCACAGCTTTTCCCAGCCAGCTGGAGGCTACTTCTCTGACTCCAGCTGTTTTCACCTGTTTGTTTGTCACTCTGGCTCCCTTAGGCTGGTGCCTTTGTAGCAATGGATGACAGCATGGGCACATGGTACAGTGGAGGTTGTGACTTCCTACAGCACTGGGCCACAGTAGAGCTTCATTTTCTCCTAACTGTGCCCCTGCAAACAGGAGTGGTCACTAGAATAGCTACCACTCTGGCTTCAGCCCCTCAGGACGGTGGGTCTGGGTATGGCCAGGGGAGCTGACTGAACTGTTATTAATAGGAACTACAAAGGTCTGTGCAGAACTCAGATATCCATTTGGAGAAAATACCAGCCCATTTGTAGTCAGTAATGAATAAAGCTGTTAATCCATCAGTCTCAAAAGGGCAAAACCCGCCTTCTTTATGTGCAATTTGAATGTGCAGCGTCTCTTCTAGGACAGGCTGTAGGGTGGAGTGGGATGGAGGTGGCCAGGTCCTCGCATCACAGGCAGCAGTCGTCAGGGCTTTGGTGGCTGGCACTGAGATGTTGTAACAGGAATGTGCCATGGTGCAGGGTGCATTCAGCTGGGGTTGGAAGTCAGGGAGACAATGCTGTGAGGGTTTGAGCCTGTTCAGGTGGGAAAGACACTGAGCCCTGATGGTGTGTGCCAAGTTACAGGACTGTTTGCTGGGGCTCTTCCTGCCCAGTGCTGTGTGTTTTGTGGAAATGACCATGAGGACAGATCGTGTCTCTGGGCTCTGGGCCAACTTGTACTCCAGCCAGTGCTCTCTCCTGCCTGCTGACCGGTCCCTGCTTTTATTTTCTCAGCCATGGCAAGAACCAGCTCTGGGCAAGATGCCATGGTCAGTAGGAGGCATCTGAGCCCTGGTGAAAGTATCACCCTGAGCTGATCTCCCCCAGACCCAGGCAGGTCCTGCAGGGACACCTCCTTAAGCCTGAGACCCTCTGCCGGTGTTTAAGCAGAGACAGGGAATCCTCCTCCACGGTACTTTTGACAGCTCCTAAAGTCATCTTACTCCCTCCTGCTAGCCCTCAAGTCCAGAAAACACTGGAGTGGACCTTAGCTGGGGTTCCAAGTTCATCCCAGTGGTTTTTAACCAAAGGCCTGGGTTTCTTAGCATTAGAACTAAGTCTTTGGGTACAGTGATTTGGCTAAGAATTCGGTTCCCTGTATCTCCAAGAGCAGCTGAGTTGCTCTGTGACAATGGGGGGGGGGGAGCACACGGACGGACGGACGATGACAATGGGGGGGGGACACACGGACGACGACAACAATGCATAATGCATTGATCCTGGGCAGTCTTTATTTTTATTTTATTTTTTTGCATAGGCATAAATTAGAGTCTGGAGAGATTTTTTTTTTTTTTTTAAGAACCAACAGTGCAGCATTTGTGACAGGAGAGCGCAAAACAGCCCTGAGGGCAGGGCTTGTGCTTGCCCTGCCTGGCAGCGCCTCTGACCCTTCCCATAGACCAGGGCCAAGCCCTTCAGAGGCCAGGACTAGGAACTGAGTAACAGCTGGTGCCCCTCAGAATGGGGCTAGGAATCAAGCCTGTAGCTTTTCAGTTAAAAAAAAAAAAGACTTGAGAATTCTATATATAATACAGCAGGGCCCTTAAGTCTAAAAGTCTCTTCCTCCTCCCCATACAAGGTAACTTCTGTCAGCCTCCCTCCCAGCCCCTACCCAACTGCCCACCTAGAGGAGGAACCAGAAGGGAAACAATCTAAACCAGAGCTGACAGCCTAAGGGACTTGCTTTAGAATGGGCAGGGCCCTCACTAGGGTCTCATTAGATGGGAGTGGGCTAGTGTAGCCTCACCACCTTGGCACTGGACCAGGAGAACCTGCAAAGTCATCTCCCCTCTCTCCTACCCTGATGGAATGGCCCCAAAGACAGCCTAGGTCCTCCCTTGGGGGAATGGAAAGCTTGCTCCAGGCACAGGCAGGGTACAGCAGGGATGAAGTGCAGAATAGAGCCCCACCCACATCAGGAGGAAAAGCAATGGTCCCCAACACTGGGGACCCTCTAGGCTGGCACAGACAGCAGTCCACAGAGGCACACAGGAGCTGGTACCCTCCAGGATACAAGAAACCCCAGGGGCCCCATGGGCCATGGTACCTGCCATGCTGGAAGGGCACAGAAGCCTTTACCCAGCGTCTGCCAGAGACAATCCCCACTGCATAGTGCTGAGCACTGCCCTAAAAGGCCACAGGACCCCTAGCTCACCTCCCTGGGGCTTTGACACCTACAGGGGCCCCCTGATGCCAGTTCCTCCACCAAATATAGTTTCACTTCCTGTCTCCCAGTCCTCCGAAGCATGCTACATATATACACCTGGCAGGCGTCTAGCTCTAGGAGGACTGAGAGAGGCATGAGAGCCTGCTGGCAACCTCAAGCTGCTTGGCTGTGCAGGGCGCCCTACACATGCTGCCTCTTCACTCCTGCTCCTGGACGTCAGCGAATCAAGCATGTGCGGGCAGTGGTGGGTTGCTGTGCACCTACTCTCAGAGCAGGGGTAGATGCTGGGAAGGGTGAGCCTCCCGGATGGCTAGCAGCAGGCACAAGGTCTCAAATGACTAGTGGGCAGGCTCTCCGTGCACCCGGAAGCGGTAGATGCATGTATACTCGGGGTGGCCCCAGTTGGTCAGGACCCGAAGCTCCACAACTTGATATGTGGTCATCTTAGAGGTCTAGGTAGAGAAAAGGGGCTCAATGTCACAGTGTCCTTTGACACCTCACCAACAGAAGGGGCTCAGGGAGTCACCTCAGCAGCCAGATGTTTCCTCCCTTGGGGCTCAAAAATAACCAAAAAAAAAAAATCCACAGAATTTCTAAAGTTTCTGTCTATTTCCTAGAACAAAGTTCCTAGGCCAAAGGCCCTGGGAGACTTCAGGATTCCAAGTAAGTAACAAGGACCAGCACAATTCATCAGAGACCAATGAATTCATTCCCAGCCATGGTTAGCATTATCAGTGCATGGAACTTTCATGGGAGGCTTGTGGACAGGGCTTGCTGTCTTCTGAAGTGTGTATCTAGCCTGTACTCTATGCTTAAAAGCCATAGTGTTACAGGACTGAAAAGCTGGCCCAGCAGTTAAGAGCACTGGCTTCTTTTCCATGTGATCTAGTTCCATTCCCAGCACCCATATGGTAGCTTATAGTCTGTAACTCTGGTTCCAAGGCATCCAAAGCCCTCTTCTGGTCTCCTAGGGTACCAGGCAAACAAATGGTGCACAGACATATATGCAAGCAAAACATTCTCTCTCTCTCCTCTCTCTCTCTCTCACACACACACACACAGGAAAAACAACCACAAAGAATTAAAATGAACTGAGCTCCATCGCTGGCACCAGAGCCTGCCTCTGCCGGGCATGGAAGATGGAATGCCCACTTCCATTCAGGCCACAGGCCCTTTCTGAGACTCTAGCTGACTGTATGGTCATCCTGAACATCCGTCATAGTTACATCCTTGTCACAGCCCTTCTTTAATAGAACTCACTTCGGTGGCGCCCGTCATCGCTGTGTCACAGACAGGAGAGTCATCTCTCCCCTGTGCCCTGAACTAAGGCAGGACGAAAGACAGATCTCTGAGCCCTGTGCCTGGCACCGCAAGTACAGGGAGAGCCTGCTCTTGACGCTGTGAGGGACCACCCCGTGAGCACACATCGTGTACCTGGAAATAGAAGGTCTGGATAGGCTCCCCATCCTGGTCGTAGACAAACGTGCCAAGAAGTGTCCCTTCCTGCTGCAGGTCTTCATCAAAGCCCTGCAGAAAAGCATACGGGAACGGGGGAGAGTCAGGGAGGGCCGCTTCACTCTCACCAGGTGTCTGGCTCTCCTCTTAAATGCACTAACCCCCTCACTGCCAGGGCCACTGAAATGTGATACTCAGCAAAGACACCTGCTCTACACCCCCACCCCGCCACCCCGCACAGACCAGGTACTCACAAAGATGGCAAAGTCCTTGGGAGCACTGGAGATAGTGCTGTTGGGTGACAAGGCCTTGGGCACGTGCTCTAAGGTGACAGCTGTGGGGCGGATCCGGGCAGAGAGGCGGACCACGGCAAAGCCCTCAGGCCCCTGGAAGGCCCAGCAGTTGCCTGGGTGCACATCTGGCTGGAGGGGTGAGAGGCGCGTCGGGTAAGGCTTTAATCCAGGTCTTGTGCCTGAGACAGGGGCATCCCCCACTGCGTTCAGAGTCATGGGGCCTCACTGACTGCCCACCTGGAGAATGACCCGGGGTGACTGAGAGTGGTACCACAGAGGGATGCCGAAGAGGCTGAGGAGGGCCGTCTTTGTCTCGTACGTCTCGGAACAGCGGGTACTGATAACACTGGCTCCTGTCACAGGAAAGCAAGGTTTTAAAACTCACAGTGGGGAGGCCCAATAAGCTCTGGCAGTTCCAGGGCTGAAGAGCCATGGCCTGATTCCTCACAGACCATGAAGGACATGTACCTCAAGCCCAGTGCTAACACAGATTCACAAGGCCTCTCCCAGCCAGAGATGCCACCCAGTACCTCATGGCTTCCCTCAGCCATCGTGGCCTTGGTTGGGAGTCCAGGTTGGGTGTGTGGTCGGTACTAGCCCAAGCCCTCTCTGCTTAGCGCTGGGCTGCCTGGGCTTAGCACTAGCCATAGTAAGGACCAAGTTAAGGCCAAGCGGTGAAGACAGCACACACCTCCTGATTCCAGGGCGTAGTCTACCATTCCAATTCGATCCTCACTGTAGCGCTGCAGGGCCTGCTTGACGATCCGGTGCACTTGCTGAAACATGTCCCCAGAGACAGTGGTGGTGTGAAAGGGGCCCAGGCACCACATGCCCATGGACTGGCTGCTGGCACCAACAGCACCCAGCAGGCCTTGTACACCTCCACCACCCACACTTGGCCAGACATGCAGCCAGGACGCCCGTCACTCATGTCCTGGGATGTGTGAGGAGCTGGCTATATAGGACTGTTCAAGTCTGTAGCTTCCCGGAAGAAAGCAGTGTGCCGGGAGGGCAGGCATCCCTTACCTCCTCCGTCACCCCGACCACGCCTTCTTTCTGCAGTGTCCGTCCCAGAGAGGCTGCAGCCTCCCTGGCTGACTTGCCCTGCATCTCAGCCATGCTGGCAAGGATCTTGCTCTCCAGCTCCTGCAGCTGAGCATGCAGTTCGTCTCTCTGTAGGAGTCCACCACCGGCACCCCTATCGCGGAGAAGGAACTGACTGACCCAGTCAGGGAACTGGGATTCCACCTAGGGACAAAAGCAGTGACACTGAGAAACTTGCAGAAGGCCAGGGGTTGCTATGGCAGGGCTGGTGACCCTGAGAGTGAGGGAAGAGGTTAGGAACTACTTTCCAGGGAACAATGACCAGGAACGGGAAGCATCTCCCCCAGAGTCCAGGTCTGCATCAGTCTAACGGTGCATATGCCTCCAGACCGACAGGCCAGGATACAGCCCCACTGATAGACCCCGCCCCCAGGTGGGTGGTCTGGAGAAGATGTTCGCCCCAGGCTCTGCTCTGCATAATTCCAACTCACATCAGCCCTGGCAGCCTGGATTTTCTGTGGCAGCAGTCCCACCTCATCTGCCATGGAGTCCTGTCTCAGAGTCAGGGCGGCCAGCTCTTGCCGCAGGCTGGCCAGCTGGGCCTCCAGCCGCCCCAGCTCCTTCACAGAGCTCTGCTGGAAGGCCTCCTGGGTCATCCTGGTTGGGGGGCGGGGGGGGGGGGGAAGCAAGAGAAGGGCACGGTGAGGAAGGGAGAGACTCCTGTCATAGGCGTACGCCCGACACTCACTGAACTTGGGAACTAGCTTGCCTGTCTCAGCTAATTCTGGAGTACACAATTCACGACACCATGCCTTCCCAGCTCAGTCATAAGAGCGTGAGTCACATGGGCCAGCCCACAGGCCCCGGCCTCACTGCAGGGCCCTGCCACCCCCAGTCCTCACCAACCTGCCCTGTCCCTGAGACGCTGCAGGCAGGGCCCTAAGCTAAGTTTCAACCAGCCTTCCCCAAGGGACCAGCAGAGCCCTAATGGGGCGGCAGAGGAGGCCTTGGCCAGATGGCAGCTATTACCTTTGCCACTCTGTCTTCAGTTGCTGGACATGAGCCTCAGACTCCTGGGAACAGGAAGAAGGAACAAGGACAAGAAATGAAGAGTTCAGAGACATCTGAGGACCTGTTCTTTGCTTAACCATACATCCCTGCCTCGGGGCCTCCCAGCCCTTTGAGCAGAGATCAAACCGGTTGAAGCCGAAGTCCTTCTGCGGGTCTCTCTAGACGCATTCTTACTATGTTTACGTTCACTGAGCACAAACACACCCAGCGCAGCTACCATCCCTGTCCCATACACATCCCGTGGGCATCTATCTGAGCATGAGACACTCCCCATCTAGTCAACACCCCAGCAGTAGTCGTGGAAGAGCCGAGGGCAGATCTGGGTTTGTGTGAGATACCCAGTACAGCGCTACATGCCCACTGACCTGAGAGGCCTGGACAATCTTCTTGAAGAGGTCTTCCGAGTCTTGGTGATGCTCTGCCCTCAGGGTGGCCAGTTCTTCCTGCCAGACATGAGGAGGAAACTAGTCTTTGTGTTTGCTTTGTTTCGTTTTAGACAGGGTCTCTCTGTAGCCCTGGCTGTCCTGGAACTCCGAGATGTAGACCAGGCTGGTCTCAAACTCAGAGATCCACCAGCCTCCGCCTCCTGAGTAATGAGACTAAAGGTGTGCGTCACCATGCCCTGAGAGACTGAAGTGTGACAGCTGCCCTTGGAGGACCACTTGTGACCAGGACTAGTGTAACTGGGCTTGTTCTGGGACTTTTAACTGCAGGGTTTCAGCTCCTGGCCTTATGCTGCAAGGCTCTGAAATACAAGGAGTACCGCCTAGTGTCTAACACTTTACTGGTGTCTGGCACTATGCCAGGCACTCCCACATGGAAGATGGTCATTCCCACCTTGACAGGGTGCCTGGCAAGTGACTCTATGTTATACGTTACTGTCCCCTTCACGCCCTGCTTGGATTCCTTCACCCCAACACGTGCACTTTCAGGGGTTTCTATGGCATTACCCTTAGGGGATGTTCAGTCCCACACCCAGGCAATGCTGTTCCCCCACCTGGATACGAGACACTGTGTCCCTGCGCAAGTCCTCCTTCAAGGCAGCCTCACGACGGCTCACCAACCCTTCCAGGAGAGACAGGGTATCTTCGTGGCTCAGGCCACTGCCGCCTCCGTGACCAGTAGCCCCCTGCCTCAGCTCCAGGCGTTCTAGCCGTATGGCTTCTTTCTGCCAGTTGGAGGAAAACTCGGCAGCAAGAGTTTCCAGGCGCCGCTCCAGGGAGTGTACCCGGGAGAGGATTCGCTGCTCAGCCTGGTGGGAAAGGACAGAGGTTAAGGCCCAGGGGAGCCTACCACAAGACTGAACTCAAACAGCAGGCAGAAAGAGCATTCAATGGGCTCCTGACTCAGCACAGCTGGGACATGACAGCAAGGTGCACGCCTTTAATCCCAGCACTCGGGAGGCAGAGGCAGGCAGCTCTCTGTGAGTTCGAGACCAGCCTGGTCTACAGAATGAGTTCTAGGACAGCCAGGGATATCTAGTGAGACTCCTCTCTCTTGGAAAGAAAAACTTAAAAAAAATAAAAAGGCAAAACCAGCTGGGACATGGCTAGTAGTTGTGGCATGTGCCAGGAGATACAGGGCATGCACTGCAGGGGGAGGGGCGGGGCAATGCTCCCTAAACATGTAAACATCAGATCCCAGAGTGGAGGGGAAGGTGGCTGGGTGAGGAGGTCGTCTGAACACAGGAACTGGCCAGAAAAATTTCATGAAGTTGCAGAATGGTCACAGGATCCATCTAGGCACCCCATGAGCTGTATAAGGTTGGGATGGGGGGCAGCTTTTGGCTTTCACATGCTTTTGCTCTTCCATAGATAACCACAGCAAAAGAGGAATAGTTTAAAAGCTTTGCATTTTCCTCATTTAAATGAATGTCCTACAGAGAAGGTACAGTAACAGCCATTTAGACTAAGGCTGGCATCGGATAGTGTGTCATGAATTCTGAAGACTGTTTCTGGTCAAACAACAAAACCTTTGCCAAGAGAAATTACAAAATGCAATCTAATTTAAAGGGCAAAGGACTTTGGGGCAGAGACTTCAGGTTTTAGAAATTCTGTTTTAAACATATGCTTGCATGACTCAAAAGGCTGCAAGCACAGAATCCATTCGGAGCCTGTTCCACCCTGCCCTGCCATCACCTCTCGAAACCAGCAGTCTTCACTGGTGTCCACACTAGCAGAAACAAACCAAGCTCTGCTGGGTTTACTTCCCCTTTCCTAATGAAAAGTGGCCCAAGACTGAGTTGCTCCTCATCTCTTCAAAGGCCATCATTTCAAGAACTAAGATCATTGTCAGGAAAAGGACCTTACTGGAATACATAATTTAAAAGCTTAACTCAGCGGGTACAAGTGATGTTCAAATCAATCAGTAGAGGACAAAGAGTTGGGGGTGCATTGTTTGTTTTGTTGAGAAAGAGTCTCACTTAGTCCAGACTGTCCTGTGGTTTACTATGTAGTTCAGGCTAACTGCAAATTCACGGTGATTCTACTGCCTTAGCCTTCCAAGTACCAGGACTACAGGTGTAAGCCACCATGTCCTCCTGAGATGAAGAGATCTGTGTGTGCCATGCTCGTGTGTGTGTGTGTGTGTGTGTGTGTGCGCATGTGGGTTTGCACATGTATGTGAAGATGTACTCGCTTGTGCACAAGGGGAGGCCAGAGGTTGACATTAGGCGTCTCCCTCTATGGCTCTCCACCTTATTTTTAGAGACAGGCTTTCTCATTGGACCTGGAGCTCACCATTAGCCTGATTGGCCAAGTCCTCAAGATCCGCCTGACTCCATCACCACCCCCAGCACCAGGGTTACAAGTATGCATTAGTCATACTGGGGATCATACTCACACAGCAAACATGTTGTGCACTGAAAAAGCCCCCCAGCCCTGGGACAGAGTTTTGGGTGTCCTGTATTTCTACTACATTCTGGTTATATGTCCACTTGCTACCACAACTGACTGCAGGCTCCTGGAAAGCGCAGCCTGCACCTGCCCCATCTTAAGACCTGAGCAGATTATAAACTGACCACTGTCTCTCATTCCCATGTCTACAGCTTCTGCAGGCTGCCTGTTGGAGGGGCTTCCCTCTCCTTGCCTCTCCCTCCTTATTTCTGGTCTGTCCCTAATAATTCTCCAGGTCCCAACTCATCTGGCTTGTTTCCCCTTCCTAGAACACAGCTGAGCTGCTATGGGAGCAAGCCCAGGCTAGCCTAGTAGGTGAACAAAGATTACCTGGGGGCAGCTGGCCCACTAAGCAACCCACTAACCACCTGTCCTGGATCAGTCCAAAAGGGCCCACTGGGCCTTCCAGAACCACATACTTGGAATCTTAAGCCACAAGTTAAAGTTGGGGGAAGGATGGGAGGTGCCTGATCAGGATGTTACACACAGAAGCCGTGGCAATATGGAGAAATCACACTGAAGGGCAACAAGACCGTTTGCCAGCCCCTTCCTTCTGCTTTCTTAGTATGTACACAACTTGAGTCATGTTTAGGGGAAAGTTAGCTCCCCCATGACCTATACCTCCAACAGCAAGAAAAGGGTGTTGCAGTCTTGTGGCTTGTGTGAGCTGGGGTGCTACCTGTAAAGTGAGGCCGGAGAAGTCCACTCCCCGCTCTCAGCACCCATGGACTCACCTGCAAGTGTGGGGAGGCATCTCTGGATTCCCACACCTCCGGCTGCCTCCTGCTCTCCTTTGCTGTCCACCAGGAGGCCAAGGTGGGCTGCAATGTATGCAGCCCGAAGGGGTAAAAATACCAAGCACCTAGGCACAGGGAGAGAGTGCTTAGAATCTGTCATATGGCCTGTGTCACTCATTGTGAGTGCTGTTCTACCAGGGGTGGAAACAACACCCTTTGACCTCACAGCTCATTCATGCTCGTATCAGTCTCTGGGTTATTTCGATCATTCCAAGACAGTGACACTTCTGTGAGAGCACCTTCCTTTACCAGCTCTAGATTTCCAAGGGTGGAACCCAGCCCTGATGGTAGTCCTCACTGTCTCAGTGCACAGCCCCCTGGGGAGCTTTGACAACTACCACTGGCTGCCCTATCCAGAAGAAGGGTTAGGTGTCTCAAGCAGTCATTTGTGAGTGGGCTGAGCAGCTCCACGGGCTGCTGACACCGAGCATCACTCAAGACACACAGCACCCTCTTCAAGGTGGGACACCGAGGCCCCAGGATCAGGGCCCAAGACTGCAACCACAGAGAAACAGAGTGTCTGAAAGACAAGTCATGCTTGCCACTTAGTTATCTGCCATGAGCAGCAAGGCGAATGGAATATACACAGTCACTAGGTTGTGTAGACACACTCCCTGAGCCCTCCCTACTCACACCTACACATGCCCTGGCTGAGACACCAGCTCCATCAACCTCACAAGAAAACAGTGAAGCTCAGACTAAGCTGTGCTCAATACCTGGGAAAGTGCTGACAGGATAAACACTACGCTGTCACAAGCCATAAAATAATTATTATTCTAAGGGTGATGCCCAGTTTCCACTAGGTATTAACAAGTTGTTCTTGTAATAGGAAACAAAAAGGCTACATAGAGAAGCCCCGTCCCAAAAGACAAAACAAAGACAAAAACCAAAACAACAACAACAACAACAACCCCAAAAAACAAAACAAGAAAACAACTCTCTACAAGCTGTTGCAGTCATCGAAAGTGAATCTGGGACTACACAGCCACATCACACGAAACTGAAAACTCAGTGAAATTGCCCATGAGAAGCAGAGGCAAAGACGACAAGAAGGTCCTGTGCCAGGCAGGGCTGTGGGTGAGCAGCTCTTAATGTCCCAGCCAGTTCTTTTTTCGATGTTTCACAGCTTCTAGCTTAAAGGCAGCCAAAGGTTTCACTTGATCTTGTAAAAACAATCCACTTGCACACTCTGTCCTGATTTGGAATACAGAGAAAATAACTGCTCCTAATAATAGCTCAGAGTTCCTGCTTGCTACTCACAGAGTGGCTGTCCAGGGGCATGTTCCTCCCAGAGGCACTCTGTACCAGAGCCAGAGCAAGGTCAGAAGAGGCATATATCCCCTCAGCCCTGGGATACTGTCAGACAGGACAGCCTGGGTCAGCAGGGCGGGGTTGAGGGGATGAGAAAGCAGGCCCAGCAGTCCACTGGATCACCGTCAGCCCAGCCACTGCCACGCCCTGCCCCTGCCTCTAGCTCCCCTCCCTTCCTCCCTGCTCACCATAGGTGAGACCAGTCAGGAGCAGCAGGAACAGGAGGAACCACAGGAAAGTCTTCAGGTTCAGCGAGAAGTGCCTGGACCTCGGGAGGGCAGAAAGAAGGCTGACATCAGATGTGGGATCTGGGCCTCCGTGCTCCACTGGGTCCCTTGGGACTTTTCTAGAATTCTAAACTAGAATTAAACATGTACCCTTGAGCTTCCCATGGGACTAGGGCCAGTCTAGTCCACCAGAATGGTACCTGTAGGTTCTAAGAGTAGGGAAATTTGGATTCTATTTTTTTTTAAGATTTATTTATTATGTATACAGTGTTGTGTCTGTGTATATTCCTGCACACCAGAATTGGGCACCAAATCTCATTACAGATGGTTGTGAGCCACCATGTGGTTGCTGGGAACTGAACTCAGGACCTCTGGAAGAGCAGCCAGTGCTCTTAACCTGAGCCATCTCTCCGGGCCCAAGCTCTACAAATTTTAAAACTTATTTTTAACTATGCGTATATGTGTAGACGTATGAGTGCGTGAGTGCAGGTGCTTTCAGAGTCCAGAAGAGGGCGTTATATCCCCTGGACTTGAAGTTATAAACGGTCGTGAGTCACCATGTGGGTACTAGGAATCTAACTCTGGAAGATCTAGGAATCTGTTCTGTGGAAGAGCAGCCAGTGTTCTTAACCACTGAGCCATCTCTGCAGCCACCCCGCACGCCCACCACACATATATTTTTGAGAGAGGGTCTTAATAGGCAGCACAGGCTGACCTGGACTGGCTCCTGACTGGTTCTCCATTCTCTGGGGTCCACTGGTGACTGCCCCTGTTCCCAGCAGCACTAGCCATGCTCCATGACCTGACCTTGGCCAGAGATGCCCTGACCTCCTGGTCTAGCCTTTGCTCAGTGCTCACGTGGCCCTAGGCCTCTGCTCTGCTGGTTTGGGAACTTTTTTTTTTTTTTTTTTCGAGACAGGATTTCTCTGTAGCTTTTTTGGAGGCTGTCCTGAAACTTGCTCTGTTGACCAGGCTGGCCTCGAACTCACAGAGATCCACCTGCCTCTGCCTCCTGAGTGCTGGGATTAAAGGTGTGAGCCACCACCGCCCAGCTGGTTTGGGAACTTGGGGAATAACCCCACAGCATCCTTGGACAATGCCTCTTCATGGCTTCTGACCATGAACAGACACCTCTGGAATGTAGCCTGTCACAGGCTTAAGGAGGAGTCAGGACTTTGTACCCCACTTTTAAATTAGTGCCTCATGGTTTGTGGTTTGCCAGCAGGAGCAAAGCCACCCTTTCTCTGAGGACTGGAAGTGGCTGAGCTGGGTGGTACTTGGTTCCTAGGAAACCTGTGTCCCAGAGTGTGGCTGGAAGAGTTACTAACAATGCCAAAAGCTCGGATGCTCTATCAAGCCCTGTGCTACCAGGTCTTTCTGATTCATCATCAGGGCTGGAGTCTTGCTCACCTGGTTAAGACGAAGACGTCCAGGAGGGAGGCAGCAGTCGTCAGGCGGTACCAGGTGGTGCCAACCCACCAGTAGAGAAGACCAAAGAGTCGGCCTGAAAAGTGGCCAGTAAGCCCAAGACTTGGTCACACTTAGCACACTACCTTTCCCCATCTGTGTGCTACCTGCCCACCCCTTGACCCTCCGTCCCACTCCATGCCCAGCCCATTCTGGAGTGGCTCCTGCCCAAACCTGCAAGGGCTTTCCCACAGCTCCTGGTGCCCAGTGATTACCCCACAACAGGCCTTCCCAACTCCGTGGGCTGGGCCTGGGTGTCCAGTCAGACACAGTAAGAAGTGGCTGCTGCAGAGTGTGGAAGTAGCCAAGCACATAGCAACCACCCACCTGGAAAAGTGACCAGTGTCCAGACAAATGAGCCTGCCCGAGATGCTGCACTCCTTAGTCCTGACCCTGAACCATGCTGCTCAGAGTCCGTGTAGCCTGCAGGGAAGGGAAGGAAGCAAACTCAACTCCTCACAGTCCCTGTGAGCCCTGGATGTGGAACCCAATCTTCCCTCGAGCTTAAGCCTCTCATCCTCCTCCCAGAGTATCAGACTGGCCCAGCACACAGTAGGTCAAGGAATGTTTGTGAGTTGATGGAATGGGAGATCTCCAACATCTTTTTCCTGGTGCTGGAGACCTGTGCTTCCCTCCAGCTTAAGCCTCTCATCCTCCTCCCAGAGTATCAGACTGGCCCAGCACACAGTAGGTCAAGGAATGTTTGTGAGTTGATGGAATGGGAGATCTCCAACATCTTTTTCCTGGTGCTGGAGACCTGTGCTTGCTAGAGCACTGTACTGTGCCTCTGAGCCACGTCCCCAGGCCCTGACAACTTATTTCCCCTTTGCACCCTCTCCTGGCTAACAAACTCCAGGCAGTTGCTTAGACCCAGACAAGGGGATCACTCCTGCAGAGAAATTACTGAGTATTGACTATGTTTGAGTCCCAGGTTAAACTGCCCTAAACACAGTGGTATGGTCCTGGGTCACTCACAGACTAGTGGAGGACATCTAGGACACAAAAGTCTTAGGTATTGCTTGGGTCGGGAGGGAGAACTGTGGTGCAACACCCAGTTAGGTGTGCACATGTAGGAACACACACACACACACACACACATGCGCGCACGAGAGAGAGAGACAGAGAACCACCCAAGGTTGTATGTTTGCTAGGCAAATTGTCTACCACTAACTATCCCTGGCTCTCAGTGAAGCTGGGAAGTGCCCACAACATGTGAGGTCTTCTCACACTGTCAAGGTGCCCCTTGTGTCCTTGGTCCCCTGTAGCCTTAGAGTCCACTCACATGGGCTAATGAGACAGTACCTACCTGCAAAGTCATCCTCTGAAGAGTAGCCTGAGGAAGAGCCGAAAAAGTCCTCTGAGACCTTGCTCTCCGTGGTGAGCCCGTTGGCTTTGCTGCTCTCCGAGCCCCCTGTGCCTCTCCTCCTCCTCCCCCGGAGGTCCCCACCTGGCAGGGGTGGGGGTTGTATGAGCTTCCACAGCATCCACCCTGGTGGACCTGGGCTGAGGGATGCTCAGAAGAGCACCAGGAGCACCGACAGGGCAGGACTTTGGGGACCAGGTCTCAGGAGGGAGAAGTGGGGTACTCACTCCAGTACGGCTCACTGTGTAGACGGTCATCCAGGAGGGCACTTCTGGCAAGGGATGCGGCCCGGGGGCTGCCTATGTAGGACTCCCGAACCACAGACTCGCTATAGTAGGAGGTGTGGGAGTCAGAGGAGGGGCCCAGCTGCGGAGCTGGGGACAGGCGCTTCATGTTGCTGGATTTCCTCTTCAAAGTCCTGTGGGTCAGCCATGAGGGGAGAGGCAGGAAGTCGGCCTAGCCAGGCAGGGGAAGCCAACAGCCCTGGTGGGTCCACTTTGTGTGGGTAGGTCTTGTTGCCAGGCGACCAACAACCCATCTACTTCTGACTGTTTCCCAGCACAGGTACTCCTCTGCTCCTGGCATCTGTTACTGAATCTCACCAGAGAGGGGCGAGCTCGCCAGTAGGAGCCATCGTTCAATTCAGGTTTCTAACTTCAAAGCCAAACACTGACCCACGCTTCCTAGTGGGACTAGGCGTTTCCACAACCTAGTGAAAACCTGGACAAACCTGACCTGGCCTGGCCTCCCAGACTAACCAGAACCTTAGGGGCCTTATGGCTGCAAGGGAGCAGGATGACAGGCGTTGCTGTCCAGTCACAGGCCAGCTACTGAGGCCCTACAGATGGTGAAATGTGAGGTGTGGGCCTGGGGAAGGCGACTGGACCGCTACACCTGTCCACAGTAGACTTGCTGTTGTGAGCCCAGCTTACAGCTTTGGTGTTTCCTGCCTGGCTTTTGTGTGAAGCTGCCTCTCCCCACTTCCTGTTCACTGAACCTGAGGCTGGGTGGCCCCTGCTCACAGTGTGTGGCGAAGGCAGCATCCTGGGTCCTGGCAACCTTACAGGTTCTTGAAGAAAGGCAGACCCCTCTTGACCAAACAAACACAGGCATCTCATCTCCACCCACAGGAGCGGCCCGAGGAGGAGCCGCCTGCTGCTCCTACCTCAGAGGACTGTCTTTAAACAGGGTGCTCTGGCTTCCTGCCACGGAGCTCGCGCCACTGCTGCTGCTGCCATCGTTGTCATCCTGGGAGTAGCGTGTGAGGCGCTGGCTTCGTCTTGACATGATGGGGCAGGGTAGGGACTTCTCCTGAAGAAAGACTTGGGGGGGACAGGACAACATTTAAGATGTGGGGCTACCCAGAGGAGACACTACCTCACTGCAGAGAACAGGTGCCCTGCACACCAGGCAAAGCAGCCCTGTGATGCGGGGCCTCTCTCCACTCACCTCTGGCTACTGCCTGCCTTGGGGTTTACTTAGGACTCTGGAGCCTCTTCCAGGGCCCCTTTCGCAAGGTTTCCTAGTTGCTGTCTTTACCCTCCTTGGCGCTGAGCTCTGTGGGAGCCAGAATTGGGCCTCTGATGAGCAGCGGAGATTGACCTGTGACAGGCACTTGGTAGTGCTTTGATAACTATTTCCTGGGTGCTCTCCAGCCCTTCCCCTCCCCAAACGGGTGCTTTATCCTCTTCCTATGCTGCCCAGCCTCAGACCCTTGCTCCCTTTCCACAGGCACGGTTCCTTTCCTTCCTTCCAGTCACAATCACTGGTTCAGGGCCCCCGCCACATTCCGAGTGCCCAAACCCTTCACCCCTACATTGCCATGGTGCTCATATTCTGCAGTCCCTCAGCACCTTGCAATGTGACATCTTGATGTGGCAATGATAAGTGACCACTGGCTATCTGGTTCCTTTCCTACTTATTAATGACCCTGGCATAAGCAAGGTGGCCATCATTCCCCACCTACAAGGGAGGAACCTGGGACACTAGCCAGGTCTCTCTCTGCTCAGACCTGAGGGCTGCAGGGTCTGGACGTTTGCATTCCATCAAAAGGTTTACAAGTTTTTTGGATAGCGTTACAGCTCCATATAACACACACTTGGAGCACAGCTGTAAACTATGTGGTTACACAGTGCTTACACAATGAATATTTGTTAACGATCTAACGTAGAAGGTACAAGGTGGAGCTGTTGAGTATTGTTGCAGTCTGGCCTACGGGACGGGCACAGTCACCCCATGGGGTGGGGTGACATTGGTAAGAAGGCCAAGGTGAAAAGACCTGACCTTGCACACGTGAGTGAAGGTAAACAAAGCTGGTAAACAAAGCTTTCATCGCTGATTACCAAAACAGGCGGCTCAGAGCCTGGGCCAGCAGGGATTTAAAAATGTATATCCTAACAAGAGCTCCAGGTATTGTGACTTTGTATCACTCCTGATAGTCCTGGTAGACAACGACCTCCCAGCGGTGGGAAACACACCTGAACCCTGACCACGGAAACCAGAAGGTCGGGTTCATCCAGCTAGCAAGACAAGCAGCCTCCTGTCTGGGCTAACTGGCGCCTTCCCAGGAGGCATGTCCATCTGGCATCCTTGAATCTCTTTAGCGGTGTTGGTAAAGGGACCAACGGGTAGTAGCCAACGCAGGAAGTTGGCCTGGGTCCTGGGTTGTATTCTAGTCCTTATAAGGTAGTTCCACCCATGACTGCCACCCCCACCTGGGAGCTCCAGACACCTACACCCTCCTCCTCTTAACCCCTGCCCTGCTGCAGCAGAGGAAGCCTTTGCCGGGGGAGGGGGGAACATGTTTAGGCAGTACCCACGCTGTTGTTGGCAAGAATCTAATCATTCCGGGGGTGGGGAGATAGGGTACTGAACGCTTACAGTGTGCCACCTCCCAGCACTCCCAGGGCTGTACGGCCCTTATCTTTTTCATGCTGCATCCTGTTGTCACAAAATAGTTTACCACAGTAGCCATACAGGTTTCACAAGATGACAAAGGTCTACGCTGTGGGGAGTCGCTAGGACAGACACTTCTCTACCCCGCCGTCAGTTACAAACCCTCAGATAAACATCCTTCCCCACTCCAGAGCCCTCATTACAACTAAGACGTAGCCCCTATCTTACACGTGACATTTCCACTCCACTTCCCGTGGGACACGCAGAGTGCTCCAGGCGCTCAGCCCCTGTCCTGGCTCTAAGTCACACCCCGGCGCGCGATGGCTTTGTTTTGGTTTGGTTGGGTTAAGCTGTTTTGGAACTGAGCTAAATGGGCCTCTCTCTCTCCTCCCCCCCCCCCAGAGTTGTGACAGGCGGAGGTGGCGCAGGCTGGGAACTTCCAGTGCCAGGAATCGGTCAGTGGCACTGCCCTGGGCCGGTTTGGGGCGGCTGGGTCTTGGCTGCCCTCCTCCCCGGAGGCTGCTGAGGAAGTCCCGCCTGGGGACAGCGCCCTCCCCGTGACCGCGATGCGTCAGGGCGCCGGCCCGCGGGTGGCCCGGGGCGTGCGCCGCGCGGGGGCTGGAGTGGTCCGGCCTGGCCGGACAGGGAGGCGCAGGACGGCGACCCGAGTCAGGCAGGCGCGGGTCCGAGGGAGGCGGGTCCACCCCGTCCCTTACCTTGCGTGGCTCTTCCCGCGTCGGGGTCCCGAGGGCGGCGCCTCACGCCGGTCCGAGCCGGGCCCGGGACGCGCGCGGAGCAGAGACGCGGGACGGCGCGGGGTCGGTGGGCGGACAATGCAGCCGACGGAGGCCCGCGCTGCGCGAGTGGGGCAGGGCGGCGCGCGCGTGGCCGAGTGTGTATGTGTGCGCCTGTCAGTCAATGCTGACAGCCTGCAGCCCATTGGCCGGGCCCAGACGGCCCGCCCCGCCCTCCGTCGCCGCCCATTGGCTGGTTTGAACACAAAGGCCCCGGCTCGGCCCGCCCTCCGCGTGGGCCCTGGAGTGCGCGCGTGGGAAGTGGAAGGCGAGTGCGACCTCCGGGCTGTGAGCGCTGAGTGTGCTCCTCGCGCGCCCCTGCCCACGCGCGCCCCGCGCAGGGCCCTAAAGGCTTTAGGTGAGGGCGCACACTGGGTGTTGTGGAAATGGCCCGAGGGAAGGGTGCGGGTGGAAGGTTCCCTTCGGGGGCTCGCGCTGAAGGGTGGCGTGCGGGTGGTGTGGACGGCTTGCCAAAGCCATCCGTGTCTGCCCATTTTAAAGACAAGGGGACAGGTTCGTGGAGGTTTTCTGTTTCGTTTTGTTTCTCTTGAAGAGCCACTCAGAAGTAAAGTTGAGATTGGAAGATTAATTCTGTTTCCATTCTGAGGGTGAAGTTTGGATTCCAGGATCGGCAGGATACCTAGCCAGAACGTCCAGAGTTTCTTTCTTTCCTTTTGCTTTATTTTTCGAGACAAGATTTTTCTGTGTAACAGCCCTAGCTGTCCTGGGACTCGCTCTGTAGACCAGGCTGGCCTCGAACTCACAGAGATCCGCCTGCCTCTGCCTCCTGAGTGCTGGGATAAAAGGCGTGGGACTCCATGCCTAACCAAGCGGCTAGAACCCATTCCTCCCCAACAAAACTTTCACAACAGCATTTCGTCTTAAGGAAGGCGCCGTTCACAGCCTGTGGCAAGAGACAGACGGTAGGGCTGGTGACACATACTTCCACTTTCCTCCCCCTAGAGTGAGTGCCTGACTCCAAGAGCCTGTTCCCCAACCTCCACCCTAACCCAAAAAAAGATTCAGCAGATGCAGCTGGGGACAAAACACTTCTGGTACATTCTTTTCTAAGGAAGATGAGATCCAGTGCCCATCGCGTTAAAGAGCCAAGAAAAAAAATGGGACAAGAAACGATAAAATAGCAAAAGCTGGTTTAAGAAGGCAGTAGGAGACTGAGGAAAACGCTCGTACTGTATTGGATCCACCTCCGTGTAAAACCAGACCCTTACAATATTTTAGGGCAGCTGTGCTAACTAGTGTTACTTCTGAACATCTTAAGCTTGCTGGGTACTGACTCCTGCGTGAATGTTGGCAGAGAAGGAAGGCACCGATTAGAAGCAGCCCCTAATCAGGGAACTGACTCTCGACTCCCTGTTCTGTACTGGCTCACTCTGAGAAGGTGTCTCTACCTCCAACACAGGGCCTGCTTCCCTCTCCTCCCAAGTTGGTGTTTGTGCATTCAGGGCTGGTGCCTGTGGGCTGGCTGCAGGCGATCTTTCCACCTGTGGGACGGCTCCATACATCATTGGGTACTAATCCTGGGTTCTGTGATTGGAACCTAAATGGAAGGGCTTTTCAGAAGTGATTAGGGATTTTGGAGTGAGATGATTCTGGATTATCAGGGGCCTTGTGACAAGAATTCTTTTCAGGAAAAGGCAGGGTTAGGGGAAAGGAGGCAGTCTGACCTCTGGTCAAGTGACGAGGCCTAGCGCGTGGAGGAGTTTCGCTAGAAACTAGGAAGAACAAGGAATGGATGCTTCCTAGAGCAAAGGAGATAACGTGGCCCTGCCACGCCTTGGTTATGGGTGGCCTAGTGACAGATCACAGGAGTTTCCAGAAACAGGGGGATGTATTTCTGTTGATTTAAGTCACCAAATTTGTATCCATTTGTCGTAGCAACCACGGGAAATCACTGCTGGGTTTTAGGAGGTTCTTGGCTTCGGTATCCCAGATTCTCATGACTGCTTCGACCCTCGAAGTCTCCTGACCATTATCATGACAGCTCCTGTCAGACCTTCAAGTTAGTGTCTCATCATTTCTTCCTCCTGCCACCCCCTGTCCCTTCTGGAGAGATCTGGCATTCACAAGTCAGCCTTCTCCCTGCCATCCCCTGGGTCCCCCACTGTCCTGTCTTTCCAACCCTGGGGCAGGGCAGAGATATGGGTAGAATAGGAGCCATCACAGAAGCTGACAGTCACAGAGGGGCCTGACTTTTTGTCCCCCATTTTTTGCCTGTGGTGAGGCCTTCCCTTATAACTCCATGGTGGAGCATATGCATGGACAGTATGCACGACGGCCTGGGTTCCAGCTCCAGATCTAGAAAAAGAAATAATTCAGTTTATGTTTCTACACATGTTCCCAAATATGTTTATGTTTGTGCCAAATTGACAGAAACTAACCAGTCTAACCAGTGCTCTTGATGAAGTTGTCTGCACTGGAGACTCTGAGAATCAGAGCACAGTGGTCTGAGCCAAAGATTTGTAACATCCCACCCCTACCCCAACATAAGACCCCAGGACATCCCTGACTACTGGCCCCCTTCTTGTCCAGGTGAGTGAAAGAAGGCCCACTCCTGTGGAGTTTGGTGGCCCAAGGATAAAGACTCTGACCCCAGGCCAGTGTCCTGCTTACTCACTCAGTGACCCAGGGCAGGTCACTGAACCTCTCTGAGTCATTTTTCTCTTTTTATAAAACGTAATAACAGCCATTCTGTTTGCCACACCAAGTGACTCTGTGGCCTTGAAGAAGTTAATGAGGCTTTCTGGACTCTGTTGCCTCCCCTGTGAGGTCAAACCAGGAAAGGACAAGGTAAGACTTCAAGTCCTCCCTCAGTTTGTCTTTGACCTACAGCCAACGCGGGGGTCACCCTTGCGACACCCACCTGGTAGTGGAATCAGCTACGAGGCCCTGCTGCTCCACAGCCAGTGACAAGTGCGGAGCTCTCTTGTGGGAGACTCTCACTCCTGTGCAACCAAGGGCCCCCCCACTTCTCCCTGCCAACTCAGCACCAGCCAGCAGTCAGGGTGTTGGCGTCTGCCATTTAACCATCACAGGCCAACCTGGCAGGGTGGGGACTTTCATGTCATGCTTCCTAGCTGCAGGAACACGTTTGGTAGGTACCAGAGGGTGGAAAGTCCTGAGAAACCTGGTGCCCCCGGTCCCAGAGGCTGTTTCTCCACCTCCTTGGGATCTGATGTGGGATGCTGCTGTGCTCCGCCCAGCCCTGCCATGGGGCTCCGGGCACCTACGGGCTCTTTCATCCAACAATTCCAAGAGTCTGTCAGCAGGAGCCAGCCCAGTAAAGCTGTTTTATAGAGGAAGCCTGATCCAAAGAGAGAAAAGACGGGGTCCCTGTCACAGTAGGTCAGGGATGTGGGTCTCTACTAGGTGGACGCTCCCAGGCACACAGCAGTTGGCCTAGACTCTTTGGAATGACCTTGTTTTCATCATCTCTGACCCCCACGCCTATTACAGTGCCTGGCTTCTAATAAAATGCTCACTAAACATAGTTTCTAGACCTTCAGTCTCCTGACTCCTGGTCCAGCCTTCAGGTGCACTTCCAGAGCCTGGCCCACAGCCTCTCGTAAGGCCAGGCCCTTGCTTGGGCTGGGCTGGGGCCTGGCTTGTCTCTTTCCCGTTTCTCTGTTGATGAGATCCTGCCAGTGATTCAGTGGCAGGTTCCTAGGTACCATCCGTGACACTGGACCCAAGCTCCCAGGCAGAGCAGTGGCTTCCATGCTTGCTCCCACATTCTACAATCCCTTTGTCCCCGTGCCCCTTGCTCTCTGTTCTGGGATGGGCCCCAGAGGAGTGGCCTGGATGTGCTGAGCACCCAGAAGGAGGGCAGGGGCAGACTGAGGGTCTTTGCTCCATGTCTATGGGCGGTCATCCCTCTGACATAAACAGCAGCTGGGCCAGCTGCCTCAGGGACATTACTGGGCTAGTGGTTTCGAAAGCAGGCCTGAGACTCAGACACTCTTGAAGAACAATGTGGGGTGTGTTATTTAACTGTGTCAGCCTCAATGTCCCCGTCTGAACAATGGGCACGTAAATGATGTGCGGATGATGAGCTTAGTACAGATAGTGTATGATCCCCCCAGAAATCTGTCAGTGATGGATTTGTGTTCATTAGGAGCACCTGTTTATTCGGCAGCTCGCAGTGTCAAGCAGGGCAGGGCACCAGGCTGTAGAGATGATCTACTGACCAGATTAGTGCATCACCATAAGACATAAGTCCAGACGGGTCACAGGCCATAAGGACTTCAATAGCATATGTTTAAAAAAAAGAAAGTCTCCCTCCGGGTCTAGGAAGATGGCCCAACCCATCAAGTGCTTGCTTTGCAACGTGAGGACCTGAGTTCAGATCTTCAGCACCCTTGTAAACTTTCTGGTAGCCCAGCACTGGGGAGGAGGAGGGAGGAGGACTCCTGGGATTTGCTGCTTAGCCAGCTTGAGCTGAATTCATGAGCTCCAGGCTCAATAAGAGACTGTCTCAAAAAATAAGGTAGAGCAGGCATGGCGGTGCACGCCTTTAATCCCAGCACTCAGGAGGCAGAGGCAGGAGGATCTCTGTGAGTTCGAGGCCAGGCCTCCAAAACAATACAGAGAAACCCTGTCTCAAAACCCCCCAAAAAAAAAATAAAAATAAAAAAAGTTAAAAAGTAGGGCTGGAGAGACAGCTCAGAGGTTAAGAGCACGGCTGCTCTTCCAGAGGTCCTGAGTTCAATTCCCAGCAACCACATGGTGGCTCACAACCATCTGTAGTGAGATCTGATGCCCTCTTTTAGTGTGCAGGAGGCATACATGCAGACAGAACACTGTTTACATAATAAATACAATTAAAAATTAAACTAAAAAAGTGAAAAATGATAAAGGAAGACATCTGATGTCAACCTCAGGCCTCCACAGGCATGTACACCAAAATGATTATGCGTGTATATGAGTGGTCACGCATGCGTCCACACACACACACACACACACACACACATTCTTCCGTCATAGAGATACTAAAAGTACAATTTTCAATCATTTAACATAAAGACAAACATACTCCAAA